TGAACCATTCAATGATTTTTTTTGCCTATTCATGTAAGCTTCAATCTTTTTTTATAAGATCCAACATTTGTATCATTCATTGTTTAGACAAGAGGACAACATGTTGATTTTGATTAACTTCGAGTTGAATATCATGTTCCAAATATTGATGAAATTAATTTTGCTTGTGAATTTGTCGAAACTTTTTTTTTGTTCTGAATCGATATTATTGAATGAAAAAAGAAGTCAAAAAATATCAAATAATGAACGATTAAGATCACTGACAGTTATTTATTATATCTATTGGATGTTTGAATATGATACCATATATTGATAGCCAAAATGTGCAACATCTATAAGTAAACAGATTGAACAAGTTAAAACAATATTATATTGTTTGTTGTTTCAATGTATCATTGGTTATTTCATGCAATTTAAAACATCTAATTTATCATAATAAATCAAGTAAGAAAAATAATTATTTTTTTTGGAGAAATAATAGTTTATTTTTATATTTAAAATTCAGAGAAAACTTATGAATATGTGCTATTATTCATATTGGAAAGTTACTTGGTAGGTTTTTTTTTATTCATCAATAAAAATATTGTAGATAATTAAAGTAGCACAAATAGAATTAAAATAACAATTTATTAACCAGTGATGGAAAATAATCATGAAAGTTTTCTGGATACATTGATGGTTTTGAAAAAAGAATAATGTATTTCAATTTTTTACAATTGACTTTCTCAGCATTATTTGTAAAATTCTCTATCGCATCGATTAAATCTTGATGTTGAACAGATAATTTGTTCAGATATGGTAGATATGCATTTGATTCAAAAAGAAATTGTATGATATAGTCAACATATACACGATTAAGACTGAGATACATAAGATGAGGATATTCAATAATTGAAGATGTTTGTTTATGTTTATTTTGTTGATGTGTCAACTTCTTCTTTAGTCCATGAAGACTGATTACGTTTAATATATTGAGTAATAGAAAAGCTCGAGAAATTCGAGCAAAGAAATCGTGTTCGAATGGAACAAGGAAATTATATAATTGCAATTGACGAACACTCATAAATAAACCACCAACAAAATTGTTCGCAACATTATACATATATTCCATAGAGAACGGAAGTGAATAAACATGACATTGATTTATTTCTTGTGAATAACGATCAATATAACAATTAACATTATATCCTCTTTTAATAAACCTACGTTGAATATCATCAGAAGTTCGTAATAATTGTATAATTTGTACCATCAATGAATGAAATTCGATTTAGAACAATAAGAGATAATGTAAGTTTTTCCAATTGTGACATTTAATGAAGAAATGGTACAATTCCAATATCATACTTATCTGTTTGATCAGTTGAAATTAACGAAAAACATCGTAGATTAGATAGAGTTCTCTATAAAAAAAAAATTTTAATTAATATAGAATAAGTCATATTATGAGTAAAAAATACTCTTCTGATGTGTACAGGAGAAACTTTGGATTTATATAATTTTTTTTTATCATTCTTTTATAAATCGAAATCATCTACCTTTTTCTGAATAGTCATTGATAAATCATCACTATTATCAATTTTGACAATAAATGTGTGCAATCAATTAAGATGTCCATCAAGTAAACAAAGACAATCATCAAAATTACGCACTCTAACATTCAAATAAATAATACTTGATGAATAATATGTTGTAATTTGTAAACATCATAAGAATATTTGTGAAAATATTGGTAGCAACATTTTTCATCCGTAAAGCTGTATTATCATCATTAATCATTATATTAAGATGTGATATTTGATGTTTGTATTTGTGAGTAAATAAGATAGTATACGATTTAAAATACCAAATGCTATTTTAAGTAGAAGATTAATAAGAGTAACTTTATGAAGTTTACAATAAGTTTCAATAAGAAGAATATGATCTGTTAACAATAGACCTAAAGTGAGACATTTAATATTGTGTTGAGTTTGTGGTATTATTGAAGAACAGAATCAATTGAATATTAATGAATTAATTCTTGAATCATTATCTTCATTCGATGATATTATTACTAAATCAACATATTGTGTAAAGATACTATTTCGAGCCAATTTATCAAGTCTTTGATTGATTTCTATGATTGAATATAATATATCGATATTATTGAGTTTTTCGAAAATGGTAAGCCATATGTCGTCGCATAGATCGACGATATTAACTGTTGAATGATTCATGTTCAATGAGAAATGTCGTCAATTTCCATCTATCTATCTATACATATATATGGTGATGTAAGAAATCGTTGAGTCAATAAATCTAATAAACGACCACTGTCATCTAAATGTATTCGTTTAAATATACGAAGAATTTTAACAATATTAATGATAATATATTTCGTTTTAATAAATTACTCCTAATAGTATATATCGATTGAATAAGTAAAATGATTTCCAGCTAATGTACGATCTATAAGGCCAAGAAAATTATTTACATATATACTTGTATTAATTTTTCAAATAAAAACAATAATAATTATCATGCTTTTCGTATATAATCAAGCATATTAAGAATATGTATCCATTGTAATAATAATTGAAGGTATATATTCACTTAAAATGGCTGAATATGAAAATGTATCAAGACGATGTACAGTTTCATCATGAATTAAGAATTCACGAAAACCATTTAGAATTGTTTAGCTAAAATAAAATTAGAAATCTTATAAAATCATAGAAATTTTAAAGTCAAAACGAAAAGCAGCTGATTTTCTATCATTGATAGTCAGTTTTTACCTATTTAGCTTTTTCTCCTAAAGTTTCATATCGAGATTTTTAAATCAATCATACCGATCGAAAACTTTTACGTACTTGTTCATAACTATACGTAAGGTTTCTATTGCTTGACTATCATATTCATATCTACAAATAAATTATTATTTTGATTCATTACCATTATCGATAATATCCATAAATAAACATGTAAATTAATGTCATTTCGATTTTGTACAAGACATCGAACAATTCTAATTATATTCATTAACCATTGATTTGACGGTTGGCGATTGACATTCTAAAAAAAAATTAAAACTTTAGAAAAATTTCATAAGTAAAAAAAAGAAAGACGAATCTTTCTATTTGGTAATGCTCGCAAAAATAACAATAAATGGATCAATTAATCAAATCATAATTCAAATAATGATACAAAAATAAAATTTGTTAATTATGTAGAATAAATATTCATAAGTGATTGATCCTATCTGAAACAAAAAGTAAAGTGAAATCCAAGGTTATCAAAGGAAGAAAAATAACCTTAGATGACGCAATAGTAACATGTAATTATAAATCAACAAAAAGTATATTACTTGAAAATATTTTTTTTTCTTTTCTTCTTACCGTAGGTTGTAGGTAATGTTTACTTGCTTTTAAGGAATTTTGCAAAACGATGATTTGATGATTTATCATGGTTTGCTAGTTTCTTCAATCATTTCAAGTTTATTGATAATACGAGTAAGAAAATTCTATTTAAAAATATGCAATAGATTACATATACAAGAAATTTTATCAGTCTTTAGCATATTATAATTAAGATTAATTAAAAGTGATTGAATAAATGAATCGAGTACAACAACTTGAAAATCACTTTCGTTCGTGTCAACATTTTTTTTTAGGATTACTTTTTTAGTTAAATAAAAACTATGAAACAGAATACATCGAATTCGTGTTTTTTTTAAATCTCGTATTGAAGTATTTTCTATGGATTGGTATATGAAATAATCCAAATGAATAAATCATTGGTTGTCGAATGCTTATTATATGAATATTAATTAAAGAATTGTTTAATAGTACTTGTAAAGAAATATTTGAAGATTTAATAAAATCTAAATTAAAAGAATATTTTTAAATGAATTACACTTTTTCATTGTTCTTATTCTAAGATAAATCGAAAGACGTGACATTTTCATCAAAAAAGAAACAATTTTCTTTAAGATATTTCAGAAATTTGAATTATAAGATTTCCATATAAATTTATCTACGTGAACAAGTTTCCGATTCTCTATACAACATTCTAAAATTTTTAGTTGAATCAATAAATAAAAAATTTGAACGAAGTTACCTCTTGTGTATGTTGAATAGTTGCGCGTGAATGTGAATGTTAATATTTTCTTCAATCCACACCCTACATATATATAAGATCAATACTTTTCTTTTTCGACGACGACGACGACATTATATCGATCTACGTCAGACGAGAAAAAAAAGGATAATAAGACATACACATATCACTACATAAAAATTGATCATCAAATCAATTATGTAGAGTTACGTGTTGAACCTATCAATTCACGTATGTGGAATGATTGATAAAAAATCAATCAATCAACCATAGGGTATATAAAAACATCGATGCATCATCATAAAACATTACATTCGTGTTTTCTCAATATGATGCATTACAATGTAATTATATACCCGGGTATATTATTTATTATTATATTATTTGCAATGATAATGATATCATTATATTTTAAATAAGGTAAATTACTTGTTTTTATATTTAACAATACTTTTTTATTAGATGAACTACGATATAATACAATATTGAGAGGTAGGAAAAAAATTTGTTTTTTTTACATGCTGAGTTGAGTTGAGATAACTTATTTCGAGAAAGAATAAATATTGTCAGTTGTTTATGAGTATGAGTTTATTTGAGATGCGTTGAGTTGAGTTATCAATGTGGGTCAGATAGCTACGTTATCTGATTCAATAGGCAGAGGAACTTTGCCATAGCGAAGCAGTGTAGCACTAGGGAAGGCCTCTATGTGTCGTTGGTCTCTACCGTTCATACGGCATACCTTCGGCCATTGTCCTACCAGTCCGGCGTGGTCCGCCTGTGGTACCTATGGCATTGACAAGGGATCTCTTCCTTGTCGCGCGCGCGCGGGTAAGCCAAAATGAGCCGAGAAAAATCGAAACGATTAGCAATGTGAATAAATTTATTGAGCAAGCAAAAACAACCGTTTACATTTTCTTTTTAACATAATCAATGTTACCTTTCGTTACTTTAATTAGAGGATGTGTTGACGGAAGTGTTTTTTGTTGAATAGCAAGTGCCTTTTCTAAGACCGAGAGTGCTTTCGAGTAGTCACCCATGTTATTATACACTCCACCGATGTTATTGTAGGAATAAGCCAAATCTGGATGATTTGGAGGCAGAGCCTTTTCTCTTATTTTAAGTGATTTTTCGTAAAATTCAAGTGCTTTCGAGTAGTCACCCATGTTGTCATACACTCCACCGATGTTGTTGTAGGAACTAGCCAAATCGGGATGATTCGGATGGAGAGCTTTTTTCGTGATTTCGAGATCTTTTTCGTAAAATTCAAGTGCTTTCGAGTAGTCACCCATGTCATCATACACCGAAGCGATGTTGTTGTAAGAAGTAGCCAAATCGGGATGATTCGGAGGGAGAGCTTTTTTCGTGATTTCGAGATCTTTTTCGTAAAATTCAAGTGCTTTCGAGTAGTCACCCATGTCGTTATACACTCCACCGATGTTGTTGTAGGAACTAGCCAAATGAGGGTGATTCGAAGGCAGAGCTTTTTCGAGGATTTGATGTGATTTTTCGTAAAATTCAAGTGCTTTCGAGTAGTCACCCATGTTCTTATACACTCCACCGATGTTGTTGTAGGACAGAGCCAAATCCGGGTCATCAGGAGACAAAGCTTTTTCTTTTATTTTAATTGTTTTTTTGTAGAATTCCACTGCTTTGGAGTAGTCACCCATGTTGTCATACACTCCACCGATGTTGTTGTAGGTATTAGCTAATGAAGGGTGATCTTCTGGTAGAGTTCTTCGATAGATTTCGAGAGACATTTCATAAAATGAAGCTGCTTCTGTATATTGCCCTTGGCCGTCTTTCAACCGTCCAAGCTGGTGATAGATATGTGCTTTATCACTGTCGTTGGATGCTTGTTCTAGTAGTGCCATGTACAATTCTTCGGCCTTGTTAAATTGACCAATTTTGAGCAGCAATTGACCCATTCGATGCCATCCAGTGCGGTCGACCTCTTCTCGTATACGGTCGGTTAATTGACGAAGCTGTTGGTCATCATCTGAGGTAAGTTTAAGATCCACTTCATAAAGTGGACTTTTCTTATCAAGTTTTCGAATGTCACCAATTCGAAAAACGGTGTGCATGGAGAAAAGAATTTCCTTTTCGCCTTTGTAATAACTCACCTCCTCGATGGAGGCGAAAGGAGTTGTTGAAATTGTAGGATCAATAATTATTTGAAACAGAATACCGATCATGTCGGTTGAGCGCAAAGCGTTGTTGACGAATTTAATTGAGACATCACGATTTTTGCTGGTAGATAAAAAGTTGTTAAAAGAAATAAGCCCGCCTTTATTATTTGCGAGCTTTTCAAAATCTTCTTTCGAGAAACCTTGTCCTCGAAAGACTGTAAAGACTTTCCCTTGATACTGACTGACCTGTTCTTTGTGCAAATTTTCAATTTGTCGATGTACATCGCATAAAAAAAAGCCCATACGAATCATAATATCGCCGTTGAGTGTCCGTAGTGCACCATTTAACATTTTGTATGTAAAGCATTGTCTTGTATACCACCATATGGCATTGGATGCTTGATATGCACGTTGAAATTCATGAATATTTTTCAATTCCTTGTTGTTATCTTTGTATTCTTGTTGGCAATATGTAACTAAGTCTTGAATGGCTTTTTGATTATGTTCTATTTCAAGGAGTATTTCCTTGAATATTTGTGAATACATAAAAGTAGGTTCTAGCTGTTCAAGATTTTTGCTAGAACCTCCTTCAGTCAGACTAACAATGCTTACCGATATATTGTCCTGGTTGCATTGTTTGATAGCCATTTTCAAGTTTTCGCAAATGTGTTTGATGGATGTATGAACACCTTTGATCTTTGTATAATTTTGAGTCCATTCTTGATGTTGTTGTTTGTTGCCACAAAATATAAATATGGCATTTAATTTTGTCATATCATGAATTGTTGGCACTAGATGTTGGCCAATTGCACCGGAAGAGATAACAAATGAAATCTCCTCTTGATTTTCGTTCAATAGTTGAATACATTGGTCAGGTGTTGTACATTGTTGCACTTGATTTACGACTTCTTGCAATTGTACCATTGTATTTTTGCAGTCTTCATTTGTCATATCAATGTTTCCATCGACCCAAATAACTATATAACCTTCAGCGATACCTTGTCTTCGATATCGGCTCATTTTCGATGCCATGTTTGTTGCTTGATTGATGATCGTGAGTTGTGAAGAATAGAATGTTGTTTGAAGATGTAGTACCTTTTCTATTTATTCAATGCCAATTATTTTTGTTTTTTGTTGACACTCAAGGTTGAAGTCCAACGAATTCGAATTAAAAATATGGTTGTCAACAACAAATGAAAGAGAAAAAAACGCAATTATTCTTTCCAACTTTCGTTTTTTTCTTTGTACATCTCTGGAATAACTTGAGTGTAAACAAGTGTGAGAGCGTGTTTCTTTCTTCTCTTATTTTTGAAAGAACGAAAAAAAAAGAAAAATGTGATTTATTTGCGTTGAAGCAACAATCGAGCAATCACTTTTTCATTGTGAGACAATAGTACATATTATTAACAATTATCATTTTACTTGATTCCACAATGATATATACTGTTTCTCATAGTCATAAAAGTGATTCAAAGTTTCCTAATTTGAATTCTCAAACCTTTATACTTTGTCAAAGAATTTTTTAAGATATGTGACTTTTTGCTTAGTCAATCTAGTTGGTCCAGCGCTGTATACGAAATCCTTTTCGGTGTTTCTATGCAAGGAATTATTCAAGACATCGATCGATTACAATTTTGAGAGAGGGTATTTCCATGAATAGTCACTCAAAAAAACAAAATGGTATTAAAAAAATCTTGTGTATTTTATTTTACAGAACTTTTTAGCAGAAAAAGCTCCATCACATGAACTATCTTAACAAATTTTTAGATATTGTTGTCTTTCTTATTATTAACGAAATATGCATACATGTCAATAGGTTCCTGATTGATGAATAAAAACTTGCAATATGTTTCTATGAAAATAAAACAAGCAGACAGAAACACTATCTCTATGTATACTATTAACAATGGTATCTAAGAACGTGGCAAATTTGCGATTCGAATCTGTAGATCTATTTTATTACAGAAAGGTATGCACAAACGTTGATCGATAAGATATTATAATAATTGAAGAGTTGTCAAATTGGATCAATGAACTTTTGCCATGTCATGTTCTACTAATAAATACAATGAATTATTTCAATAGGATAATCATTACTTGCATTAAATTTAAAAGTGAGAATGAATTAATGGTTTATTTTTTGGATATTGATATCCATACTTGAGTATGAAAGTTATATGTATGTTCACGTTTGTATTAGACAAGAAATACTATACTCATACGTTTTTTTGAATGTGACAAATGTCGTCATTAGATTATTTAAATGGGACTCACACAATTAGTAGAATAACAATTAGAATTCTGCTGACATGATACTCGAGATATTTACAATACGAGCCTTTCTTTCTCTATCAAGAAATCGCAAATATAAAATAGACTCGTAACAGCACATATGACATTCCTTTGCACAAAAAGAAGTTTGTTCCAAGAGTAAAAAATATATTAGTATAAATATTAATTTCACGATTTCATTAGGTTTGTTCTGAAAAAAAAACAAAAAGCAATTGTATATTATTGTTGTCATCAAGGACTTTTTTCTTCTCGTTTCATTTGTCTCTGTATAGTGAGCAACAATATGAAAGTAGACTATGTAAACAAGAGACTGCTGAAAAAATTTAAGATTATATTTTCTTCGTTTTTTTTTCTTTTCTTAGTTTTTGTTTCATTCTCTATTGTTATACTTCATTCGTGTTGACATGTTTGAATCATGAACAATACATCGAAATCAATTCAACGCTGTTTACAACATTACTTTCATTTTATCTCTCAATAGTCGTCAATTCTGAAGTATCTAATACTGTGAAGATCTAAAGACTAAATATGATAAGCGTCATATTTACATCCTTAAAGTCGAATGAATGTTTTGCAGAGATAGTTCTCCAGAGCATTCACTTTTTTTTCTAGAGGAACAAAAATATTTATAGATTTATTGTGATATAAAAAACGAGTTTATACATAACCGATCTTTACTACTTAGTTAAAGTGAACTAAAACATAAGTCGAATATTATTCAGAAATCGATAAAAACAAATTGATGAACGACAAACAAAGAATCTATTTTAATCTAGATACGAAGACAATAGAATGCATCATTATTTTTAAACAAAGGAATTTTAAATACTAGAAGATTTCATGAAATACCATCTAGGTATTGGTAAAATGTCTCCTACTAACATTAGTAAAAAAACAGCCATATAACAGTATTTTTAAATGAAAGATGATAACTGCTTCCTACGAAGGTAATTTTCATACAATATAAGAACTTTTAAAGTTTTTTAGATGACCCTAGACAAAAAATGTCATATTTTCACGATTACTAATCTAATTGGTGGAATGTTAACAACCTATAATTTATGTTTTTATCTTTGAAATAAAACAAAAAAAGAAAGAAATGACATCGAATTATTATCATATATTTTTACGATATATTAAATGAGAGATTGATGGCTATTGAAACCGATTTTCTCAATGAGAGAGCAAGGCTTCTTAACGAAAAAATAGTTTCCGAGACAAATTAGCAGCTAAACAACTCTCTACTACATATAATGAATACAGAAAAATTGTTACACTATTTGCTAACATTTGTCTTCATGATATAATTATAAATACGAGAAAATAGAAGTAATATCTTCATTCAAAGAAAACAATAAAACAGGATTCTATGACGTTGAATGTTGTTTTTTTTTCTTTCGTTGACACTCAACAGTAAATTTCATATAGTTTCAATTTGAAATATGGCTGTCAATAATAAATGAAAGAGAAAATATGCAACGACGTCATTTCTTCTATTGTTATTCTTTCCAACTTGCGTTTACTTTTCATCTAAGCAATCGTCACTTGAGTTTTTTTTCGTACTGGCACAAACGAACAAAAAACATGGACGTTGCCAGGTTGACAATTTTTATTATGGTTACATTAGACATAATGAAAGTAGGAACAAAACAAGAAGAAAAATCTTTTTTTTATTGCAACACTACGAATATTAATCTATATACTAGCATATCTACACCCAACTATATGCAAGATATGTAGATTTGTATGATGAAGAATATAATGTTTAGAGTAATTAATTTTCAATTCAAATATAATTACAAATAATGCAATGTTTCATACTTCCATGTCATTACAATGATTTCAATTGAGTAGGTATCTTAGTTCATTAACTAGACATTGTAAACATCTTGCTATTGAATAAATCAATTCAGAATAAATTTACAAATTGTATACTATGAAAATTCATTCTTGAATTATTTCCTACTTCGATGATAGACATTCGGTGAATATAGTAGAATAAAAATAGCGAAATAGGAAAATATTAGATAATTCATTATGTTACTTTTCTTGTCGTATTTTTTATTATTAACTTAAAAGTAAATGAAATATTTTAATAAGCATTTTTCATATAAAGATTGTTTCGAAAATCATTGACGAAAAAGAAATTTCTCGATTTCCATCACAGTTGGTCCAAATACACTACGTTTATTTCTAATGAAAAAAGAATGTTTGAAGCTTTTTCCTAAGAAATAAATCAAACATGTCAAATGGAAATTACTCGTCTAATGTCGTTTATTTATTTATTTTTTCTAGAGACAAAAAAGATCTACACATACGATCACACCTACCCAAATTATTTTGAAATGTTCAAAGTTGATAGATTCTCTAAGACTATGTTTTATATTCTATTGAAAATAAGATTTCAGAACATGGCAGATTTACGATTCTACTCCGGTGCTATACTTTGCTCTAAAAAAAGACATGCAGACTTTGATCGATAAGATATTGTGATATTTTAAAAGTTACCATAACGCATTTATGAACTTTTGCCATGTCATGTACTGCTGAACAGTTTTAATTCTAATTTGAATCGATACTCATAATACAATGGACTATTGAGATAGGATAATCATTACTTGAATTAAAATTTTAAGTGAAAAAGAATTTATATTTTAGTTTTC